TTGATCGTTTTTGAATTGCATGGTTTGAAGTCCATTCGGAGCCATAACCTGTGAGATGTATCCTGAGCTAATTTGCGGAAACTTTAATTGTATGGACACAAAAAGCCTGTCATGAACTGAGATGTGGCAACTGAAACGTCATATTTAAGTTTGACCTCACAAGTCATCAAAGGTCACCAATACCAAAGGTCACCAAAGGTCACATGAAGGCAGAAGATATAAAAAATGATTACACGCCGACCAGAATGATACCAACAACAGGAGCAAAACATCACGGCGCTTTTCACCAAATGTTGCAATATCGACTTGTATTGATCGCTAGTAAGGCATTTAACCGGAACCACGTGATGGAGCACATCGATCTGGATGAAAAAGAAGCGCTCAATGACCCCTCTACCCGACTTTCGAAACAAAAAGTTTGCCTTTGGTGCGATTTACTATCAGCGTAAAATAGGCATATTTCTAGGTAAATACGCAAATTTCAATCTCAATTCGCGACCCCTAAACCACCTTTGATTTCAATATTTTTGGCATCATTGGAATCAGGAGCCGTGAAATAATGGGAAAAACCACCCCCACCCTTCAAAATCGGGAAAAATGGGTACCCCTAATATATATATATATATATATATACATATATATACATACACGTATTTTTCATATGCCTTTCATTAAAACCAGTTTCATTGTTTAACCCTCGCCGGCACAGGGGGGGGGGGGGGGGCAGGTTTTTCGCAAATAACTCGCGCAAAAAGCGGCTGATTGCGACGACACTTTCAGTACCCTCGTGTTAATCAATTTTACACCTACCCTGATAATTTCATGACACTGACCCAAATGACCTTTGACCTGTGGCCTATTTTCCAAGACCATGTTTGGCCAGAATCGCGATTCGGCGTACGTCGGCTCGCATTACCAGCGCGTTTGCAGTCTTTTCGTGGTTTCAAGCGTTCAAACATGTGATATGATGTTGGTCTCATGGATTAGGATGGGTGTCAAGGTCACCTGAAGGTCAGGTCAGGTCATTGACCTTTGGTGACCTCGGTTAAAAACCATTTGAACATTTACAAAGTAGTTTTCGTGCCTTCGTAACATGTTACGAGGCTGTCAGAGGCGGTTGACACCTACTACAAATACCTGGCAGCACCCTTACTGGTTGACCTGACCTGACTTGGCCTACATGCATAAAGACATCATCTGTGATCAAAACCAACATGATATTCGTGATCAGCGCCCCTAAAGAAACAGCAGCCACCCTTTACGATGTTCTTGCAGGTCCCGATTTTCCCGACCTTTGGGTCATTGACCTGACCTAGAAGGTCAACCGATGACCTAGGACCTCAAAATTGGGTATCATCGGCTTCCTCTTGTCAAGGGCAGCACGCTCGTTTTTTTTCCGCGAAGCTCTAGCTCGATCAGGAGCCAAACGCCAGGGAGGTCGTACCCCCCCCCCCCTTGTGCCGTCGAAGGACGCAAAAGGGCCTGTGCCGGCAAGGGTTAAAGTATTAATTACCTTATGAAAAGGCTACACTGAATATGGGGCATGGATCATGCAGCACAGATAACCAATGACATTCAGGTACTCAGATTATTTTTCAAAGAAAGGAGCAAAATAGAGCAAAAAACCGGAACATGTAAACCATTACCCCGGGTTTCCAAAAACTGTAAATCTTTTATTAATTTTCGTTTTCAACCCTTGTATATTCTGCCATGACAAGTCTACGACAAAGGGGAACAGGCGGTGATGACGTTCATTGCATTCTCTAATTTTGCCAAAAGTGTATAGCTACCAAAAAAGAATGATTCCGGGAAGAGCCGGCATAGGTACTGGACGTCAATATATTGGGCAAAGAAAAAAAAACATTAATATGTCACGAAGCAAATATAACTGTTGAACGCATCTCCAAAGTCGCAGCGAGAAGGGACTTGCCTGAATTGTGAGCTCGAAGATCCTGTCAGTTATATGCAGTGAGATGATAGTTGCTGCTGCGAGAGCGTCGTCTCCGAGCGTATCGTCACCACTCCCACCTTTTCCTGCACCACTCTCCGCCGAAAACTCTCACAACCCACTGACAGTCCACTGACACCACCACCGGCATGTTCACTGTAGGCGCAACTGCCAACCGACTGCTGCCTTGAAAATGGCGTCGAATAACGCACGTGCATCAGTGCCGCGATGGCGGCAAAACTCTTTCAAGAGGAGTTTCAGGTCTTTTTTCGGAGTTCAGTTACTCTTCTTTTCTTTTGACTGTCCTCTCGGTTCTTCGTTAACTCCCTTTGCGGTGAATTACTCTGCATTGCGTACTTCCATGCTTATTCGAACTGTCACAGCAGAGTAACAAAACTCCGACCGGGTTTGTATACTCCGAGCGGTTATGCATGGGGAGTAAATGAAATCCCAATCTCTTTCCTTTACTCCGACAGATAAAGTGAGGTACTTTTATTACTCTTCCTCGCCATGAAATACTCCAAAATGAATGGTATATGAACACCATCAAAAGGAGTTTTCAAAAAAAGGTGTATGTTAATCTCTCGCGGAGTAAATTTTTTTTTCCGTGCACTTACACTCATTAAGAAAGGAAAAAACTAGATTTTCATTGGGACTAGGTGTTTTGAGTGTGTAACATATTCAGCGTTCCCATTTTTGGATACTTCCTTGTGCTCGTCAACCATCAGTGTTTAACAGACGGGTGCTTGACATGTCTCCAGTCTCCACCCTCGGCCCTTGCCCTCGGCGCGGACGGTGGATATAGGTATGGAAGACCTTGTTGAACATCGCTGAGCGTTGTGAATTACGTAATCCTGCAGAGGGGGGCGTGCCCGCTGCGAGATCGACGGGAATAAAAGCGCAGAAGACCGGGCGAAACATGCGACGGTCTTGCCGGAAAGGTCATCTGATGATTGTTGCGTTGACAATGATTTGCGGCGTTGGACGTGATGCTTGTTAATGAAAAGAGCCCCTGAAAGGCGTCGGTGAAATCGTTCCCAATATTGGGTACTCCGTTCCCATAATAAGGAACGCTTGCAGCGCCAGTGTATGAGAGCGTTCCCAAATTTGGGCTCGCGGCCCGGATGATGGACTGCTTTAGAAATAGGGGAACGATTTGAAATTACGATGGGCCTTACAATATCAAACTCTTTCCCAACAATATTGAGACAAATATCAGGCGGTTCACGGTCGTTTTATATTTTTTGGACGTCATTTAACGGTTCTTTTTCTTGTTTTAAATAATGCCTACATGGCGTTCCCATATTTGGGTTTATCGTTCCCAAACATGGGAACGAAAATGCGTTCCCGAAAATGGGTACGCTTGACCATAGTTCCGCCTACTGATTTAGCGCATTAAAGGGACCCTCCCACCTTCAAAAAAGTTAATGAATTGGCATAGAAGTGATGTCCCTTGGTTCGGAAAGATCAAAAATGAATATGTACCAAAGTTAACCGAAAAATATTCACTGGATTTCAAGATATCAGACTTTTACTTTTGTTTACTTTTTGGAATCTCTGCTGTTCCTAGCGACTATTTGAAAGTGCGGCACTTGTTGCGCTTAAAACAGCATATACCACAACGTGCTACCAAACGTTTTAGTAAAACATTTAAAATCATTAGATCTCCGCTGACATCACAAAATCTAAGGGGGCATTCCGGTGCAGTCGCCCCTTAGAATCCGAAAACTGCACGTTTGAAATTCCATATCTCCAAATTAAAGCATATTTCGATGTTGTTGTGAGTGCCCAAACCGGTACTGAAGGCCATGGCCACCAATTTGGCTATCTCAACTCAAAACTAATGTTAAGGTGGGATGGTCACTTTAAAAATGGAAGAATACATATTACGTAAGTAGGCACTACTTACTTTTGAAAAGTGAGTCGATGCTATTATACCGAACTTACCATGCTGATCCATCTCAATCTCCAAATCAAGATCCCTCGTTTTCTGTGCGAGTCCGCTCAGAATGAGAATTCTATAGATGGCCTTGATGAGAATAAGTTCAAGTCAAAGTTGAAGTGCGCATCACTAGCTACACACGACGCGTGCTCTCACGTGGTACTGCAGCAAAACTGCGTCATAAATGTCGAAATCCAAGGCTCAGGGTCATCGAAATTAACGTCCATCAATTTAGCAGCAGGTTGATATTCGCGAATATCAAACTGAAAATTCGATATTCGGACGGGGAACGCAATAACTCAAGAACCAGTGAACCGATTTTGATGAAAAGGCCCTCATTCGATTCCTCGTTCCTTATTGCAGGTTGACGGCGATTTCCAGGTCACTAGGTCATGACCTTCAAGGTCAAGGTCAAGGTCAAAGGACGGGGAACGCTCTACCGATTTACATGCGGTAATTTTTGTAGGGTAGCTTCATTCCTTCTACTAAGTATTGGACTATTCCCGATGCATGTGGGTGACCCCTTACGCACGTGCCACGTAAGGGGTCACCCTATAACGAGGGGTGTCAGTTTTGTAATAGTTGCAATATCTCGGTAACTACTTGGCCGATTGCGCTTGAAGTTGGCATGTAGGTAGTCACCCACTAGGCAATGCATATCCATTATCCATGTGCCAGAGTTGGGGTGCTGCTGCACGTGCGCACGTGCAGGGGTCGATTCCAGATCTCGAGAACGGCAGGACCGATTGCGCTCAAATTTGGTACGCAGTTAGGGACCGGTTAGTAGGGTGCCGTGCAAGTCACTTGGGACCCATTTTGCACGTGCGCACGTGCAGGGTGCCGCTTCCAGATCTCGAGAACGGCTGGGCCGATCATGTCCTCAAATTTGGCAAATCGCTGGAGACCGGTTAGTAGGGTGCTGTGCACACGTCAGTTGGAGATACCCCCTCACAATTTCGCATGTGCAAGGCCCACCCTCTCGCTCGCTCCGTTAGTCGCCCCAAAAGGCGTTATACTGGTATTGTAAGCTTTACATGCCACGCCGATCTCCTTTCGGCCTTCGCCTTGTTGACAAAGGCCGCGCAGAAATGCTACGAATAAAGGAATGAGTGGTGGTCACGAAAAATGTATTGTCCCTCAAAGTAGCTGGACATTATTCACAAATCACAGCGCTACGACACTGTACCAAACAGCGACACTCCTTAACTCCTATGTGGAGGCGGATAGTTAAGAACACAACTACTGAATCACCGTGTGTTAACATAAAGAAACAAGATGTGACACTCACACGGGTAGCCAAGAAGCTCACAAACGAGAACCACAGCTACACCTTTTTACGACTAAATATAGACATAGTGCACGCAGCTCAATAATAGTGCAACCGATTGCGACAAATCGCCATTGACAGACTATGGCATACTGTCGGAATCGCCCGCACCATTACTGAAATGTGCGCACTGCCGCCCTAAATTGGGCGTAAAAAGCTGTATAACACTAATATATCAAACGTATGACGACAGCCGGTCATGCACTTGTCGGCATATTTCAGCATTGCATTTCGCCAATCAAGCCATTTACCGCATCAGTCAAACCTGTGTAATTCTCAAAACTGTGTACCAGTTAAAATAGAGTTTTTGCGTCAAACTGCTGAACCGTTAGACAGTAGTCGCAGCAGTGCTGCCAGTCTTCGTGTGGGTCCGCATGTGTCTGATAAGCTTTGCCCGTTGAGCGAACCGGGCCTGGCAGTGTGAGCAGCCGTACGGCCGCTCCCCGTGTGAGTACGCATGTGTGAGGTGAGACTTGTCCCTTGAGTGAAGCGTGCCTTGCAGATAGAGCAGCCGTACGGCCGCTCCCCAGTGTGGGTCCGCATGTGTGCCTTGAGGTGTCCCCGTTCAGCGAACCGTACCGTGCAGATGGAGCAGCCGAACGGTCGCTCCCCAGTGTGAGTCATCATGTGTCTGGTGAGGTGTGATCGATTAATGAACCGTGCAGTGCATATAGAGCAGCCGTTCGGCCTCTCTCCAGTGTGGGTCCGCATGTGTGTAGTGAGGTGTGACCGGTTAGCGAACCGGGCCTGGCAGTGTGAGCAGCCGTACGGCCGCTCCCCCGTGTGGGTCCTCATGTGTTTGATGAGATTCTCTCGTCGAGCGAACCGTGCCATGCAGATGGAGCAGCAGTACGGCCGCTCCCCCGTGTGGATACGCATGTGCGTGATGAGGTGTGACCGTTGAGCGAACCGTGCAGTGCATATAGAGCAGCCGTGCGGCCTCTCCCCAGTGTGGGTTCGCACGTGCTTGGTGAAGGTGGACCGTTCAGTAAACCGGGCCGAGCAGATAGAGCAGCCGTATGGCCGCTCCCCAGTGTGGATCCGCATGTGATTTTTAAGGCTTGATCGAACAGTGAACCGTGCAGTGCAGATGGAGCAGCCGTGCGGCCTCTCCCCAGTGTGAGTCTGCATGTGTCTGGTGAGGTGTGACCGGTCAGGAAATCGTACAGAGCAGATGGAGCAGCCGTACGACCGATCCTCAGTGCGGGTTCGCAGGTGTCTGGTGAGGTGTGACCGTCGAGTGAACCGTGCATGGCAGATGGAGCAGCCGTGCGGCCGCTCTCCAGTGTGGATCGCCATGTGTTCGTTAAGGTGTGACTGGTTAGTGACCCGCACCGTGCAGATGGAGCAGCATTGCGACCTATCCCCAGTGTGAATCCTTCGGCAACGTTTCATGTTTGTGGGCTTGTCGGTCGAGTATTGATACCACTCGCACTTGAATCTGCCGCTCCTGCCCAAGTATTTGTGACTTGTCTTCACGTGTCCGTCCAGATGTTGCTGTCCCAGACATCGGAAGTCGCAGTGGGGACATTGCACCGAGCCACTGATGCCTGAAGAATACACAAGAAGAAGAAAGGCCATTAAAAACGTTCCATGCCAACAGGTCGCACATACACTGGAACAATCACGACGCCGAGAGAAGACCCAAGCAGCTGGTGGTCGCGTTTCCAGGTCACCTTGGTGGTCGCCGTGGGCGGTAGCGGCAATGTTGACGCGACAAGTCATCAGCTTTCCATGAGTTGATCGGTTTGTCGTTCGAAATACAGCCATCAGAAAGGGAACGCTGAGCTCGTACAGAATAGTTCACTTGCCCTTTATTAACTAATAACTATATCACAGGGTCAGAAATCCGACCCAACTTAACCATAAAGTGAAGGGCCTATTTGACAACACCAAGGAATAAAAATTTGAAAGATAAAGAGAGGACAAAACGCAATCAATTTTTTTTTCTCTAAGGAATGTCTCTATTTGGGAAAACTCCACCGCACAGTGGGCGTTTCAAGGGTTCTAGCCTCTCACAACCTTTCAACCCTCATAGCCTTGGATCTAGGAGACCTACGCCTACGAATTACATACCAAACTGTAGCAAATTAATTAACCCGCGCGGGGCTGGGGGGGTAAATTTTACCCCCCCTGGCGAATATTTGCAATATCTCAAAAACGGCGGCGCGCAGCGCCGCCAAACTTTCAGTACCTTTTCTTACATCAATTTGACACGTTCTCTGAAATTTTGAGCGAAATCCGTCGGAAAATTTTTGAGAAATTGACGTTTTAGTGACGTCATGTTCGCCATTTTCGCCTAAAAAACGGCAAAAGTTCAAACGCCGCTAACATCTTCATTTTTAAAGGAATCAAGACGTAACAAAAAAGGATATACGTAATTCTACTTTGTCTATCAAATGGCTATCTCGGTTTTTGAAAATTTTGGATTTTGGCCCAATTTTTTTTTCAAAAAACTGACTTTTTTGGGAAAATAACTATAAAATCCAAAATTTTGGGTGTATCGAAAAAACCGGAATATATGTCAGAGAAGTGGTCTATGTGCACCTACATACCAAGTTTTAGAAGAATCGGTTCAAAAATGTGGGAGTTATTCAAAATTGTATGACGTCACGACACACAATTTTTTTGAAAAATGACTTTTTTGGAAGTTCTAGACCTCGTACGGAAACAAAAATAGCACCATTCGATTCGCCGTGAAGAACTGCATCAGATAGACACCTTTTCAGGCCTTAACAACCAACTTCAAAATTTGACCTCACTTGACCTGACCTTGACCTGACCTCGACCTGAAATTCATCCAGAGGTGGTCCATATCACTTATTGAGTGTGCCTATTGAATTCTATGAGTAAAATGACCCATAAAACATGTGTCGCACATGCCCTTTTCTATATTTTGTTTTTGGTGACCTGACCTGACCTGACCTGACCTGACCTTGACCTTGACCTCTGAATGATATTGTATGCAACGGATATTGTCTTGGTAGCCTAAGAACACGTTTTGGGCGATCAGTCTCAGTCCATGACTCCATTCTTTGGCAACTACGGTGCAAGGCCGATACTGTAGGAACTTGCAATTTGTACCCTTGACCTGACCTTGACCTTGACCTCAAACTTAAAATTAAGTACATGTTTTTAGTTGTCCGTGATGAGATCTTTCGATTGGCGTTTGAATTTTCCAAATCGGACCATTAGTTCGGGAGATAACAGGGGGGGGGGTAAAATTTACCCCCCCCCCCCAGCCCCGCGCGTTCGGCTGGAGACCCCAGCCCCGCGCGGGTTAAAGAACGTGAATGCATGACGGTTTCCCATGTTATAAGCTTTCGCAATGTGCAGGAACTGCATGAAATGTTGCATAAACGTGGCAAAACGGAGCACTTCCATTCCCCCTTGCAGTTTGGCCCCTGGTCGAGCTAGAGCTTCGCGGAAAAAACGAGCTTGCTGCCCGTGATGAGAGGAAGCCGTTGACACCCAACTTTAAGGTCCTAGGTCATTGGTTGACCTTCCAGGACAGGTCAATTACCCAAAAGTCGGGAAAATCGGAACCTGTTAAAACATCGTAAAGTGAGGTGCTTTGAGGCTTTTCGGGGTGCTGATCACGAATTTCACGCTAGTTTTGATCACAGATGATTTCGTCATGCATTTAGGCCAGGTCGGGTCAGGTCAGGTCAGGTCAACCAGTATGCGTCCTGCCGGGTATTCATAGTAGGTGTCAACCGCTACTGACAGCCTCGTAACATCATACGAAGGCACCAAAACTACTTCGTAAATGCTCAAATGGTTGCTAAATTCGAAATCAGCTAAAAAACTAGCCTAGAAACATTTAAAACTCGAAAAAGTGAACCGAGGTCACCAAAGGTCAACGACCTGACCTGACCTTCAGGTGACCTTGACACCCAGCATAGGGGAAGTTGGGGCAATGCCGGAGTTGGGGCAAAGCCGAAATTCGAGATATTTCGAAAACCGTAAGACATGGATGCCACCTGTCAGTGATGCTCTGAAGCTTAAGTGACTACAATTATCGCATGTTTGTTACGAGTCGTCATTCGGAATACTTCGACTGTGAGGGCGCCAAGAGCGTTTTCAAGGTACGTTTCCCTTGTACTACATGCGCCTTTTAAGCTGCATTTCTTACTCATTATGCTACCGTTTGTCTGGCCAATTCGGTCAAGTAATCTTTAGCATGTCTTTGCATAAGTGTGCTGCCTATTTGAAATTTATACAGGACGTTGAAAAGTTATGGGCCTGCAAATGAAAGTATGGCAGGCTGGGGTAATGCCGAAAACGTGCGATTACGAGCGTGTTAAAAGCACGTTACGTGGACTTTACTGCTGTAGAATAGCAACGCGTGTTTTTAGTCACACAAATTACACTTTCAACCGACACAACGGCCTGTTACCTGTAAGGAATGATTTACCTGGCATTTTCTTATTATATCACACAATTATAACTTCCAGTGTGCACCGCGTCCTCAAGCTCTTAAAACGCGTGTCAGCTTTGATAAATTCTGGATAAAGTTTGAGATAAAATGGCAAAACATCAATGTCGGCATTCCCCGTAGATCATTTCTCCCATTTTCGGCTTTCCCCGCAGTCCGGGGCAACGCCGAAAAAGTCACTTCTTTGATATTTTTAGTTTGTGCGCTTAACGGTATGCGAATTCATCAAATGCGCCTGGTATGTTTGAAAGGCAAAAGACTGGCCTCTCGAATGACGCCAACAAGAATAGCTTATGTTGTCTACCTTGCGTGCTACGGGCGTCAGAAAAAAAGTCTTCGGCGTTCCCCCAACTTCCCCTAATGCATGGAACCAATATCATTTCACATGGTTGAACGTTTGAAACCACAAAAAAATGCAAACGCGCGGATAATGTGAGCCGACATACGCTGAATCGCGATTCCGGCCAAACATGGTCTCGAGAAATAGGTCACAGGTCAAAGGTCATTTGGGTCAGGGTCCTGAAATTTTCAATGTAGGGGCGAAATTGATGAACTCTAATGTACTGAAAGTTTCGTCTTGATCGGCCACTTTTTACGCGAGTTATTCGCGAAAAAACGAGGGCGGTCTGTTCGACCCCCTATAAGTCCGAGGGTTAAGGTTTTGAGTCGTTGACCTCGAGTCAAAGTCTGGTCAGAGTCCCTCAGGTCACGAACTTGGTCAAAGGAGGTCGACTGTCTAACTTGCTTTGTTCCGGAGTTATTGACGGAAACTAATATGGCCCTAGTGACGTCATAAATGACGTCATGCAAGGTTAGCAATGCAAAGGTGCAGCACCGTACCTTGCAGGAAGCGCATGAAACCATGATACCATGTGATTGAGATAGTTTTAGATCATTCCTGGCGCTAAAATAACAGTTTCCATATTTTCCTCATTGACTTATAACGGTGAGATCACGCGACCGACCTGACCGCATGTGAACTTTAGCAAAAAATCCGAGATATAAATATGCAAGTTGTGAGACCTCGGGGTATGCTACGTCCTGAAAGCTTCATCTCCCTGTGAACGTCCCTCTGGCACTGAGGGCGTTGCGAAGTTGCGACATCTGAGGACCGTGCAGAGTTTCACTTATGACGTCATAGATAGCGACCTGACCTGACCTGACCTGAAAATGCGGTTGATTTAACAAGATCCGGCTTGAATCAAAGGTCAAATGTGCCAAGTTTCAGCTCTTTATCGCCGGCGTGTTGTGAGCTATCGCGTTAAAACCTATAAGGGGGCGGCACCCCCCCCCCCGGCCTCGGGGGGGGGGGCGTGACTTATGCAGAATTTCCAATTAACTCATGTGCAATACTTCTCAATTTTTTTTTAGGACACAAAATGTGTTTGAGGTTTCGCGAGACCAGACCGGCCGGATCGCCCACTGTGCATCGCCTGAGGCATTTCCGGTCACGTTACAGCTCATCCTCCGGTCAATTAGAATGTTTCTGACCCACGAGATAACACTGGCTGGTGTTACTGTCATCACTTGAAATAACATAAGCTAAAATGCAGGCTGATTTGTTTGTTCCTGTCACTATGGAGCTAATAAAGGCTAGACGGCGTATTGCAAAATGTTGCATAGCAGCAAATGGCGCAAGTTTGCGCACTTTTTTATTGCTTGGCCTGTTCAATAACATCACAATGCACATTGTGACACTCGATTTAGAGCGGGACCTGGGGGAACTCAAAAGATCGGCTTAACATAGTGAGTGATTATATATTCCCGACCGGGGCTGGGAAAATGCGTTTTATTCACCGAGGTTTTTGTGCGGAGGACCGAGTGCCGGTAGGCACGAGGTCCGTAGCAAAAAACCGAGGTGAATAAAACTGCATTTTCACAGCCCAAGGTTGGGAAGAGATTTACCACATGCCGTACTGGCGCAACAGTTAATATCATATTCATTTGATGTTTTACACTTTAATCTTAATATTGTGTTAATATTATATTAGTACTATGTTCATATTTATAGTCACCGTGATTATTTTTTGTGTTTTTCATTATTGGGCTGCGTTGAGTATGAAAGATGAAATTCCTACTTCCCCCTTATTTAGGGTTTGAAAAAGCTGAGGATGAAGATGGTGAAGCGCCAGATGTTAGAATAAAGATATGGAGTCCAGCAGGAGTGAGGAAACTGTGAGGAAAACTGAAAATTGGGTGAAACGCTGAATCAAGCGCGTCTTGGATCCCAGCTGGAACAATATCAATTGTTTCATTGTGGCACGTTAAGATGCTTCACGCATTTAAATTGTTCGTTTTTGCGTGCATTATGTAGAAATAATGATTATTCCGACCATGTTCTGCAGCAATAAATACATTGGCTTTGGAACGATACGATAACCTTGTTTAGTTGAATTACGTTGACAGCAAAAGTAAGTTAAACACGCAGTCACTTACTTTTGCTGTTGCTGTTAGTGAACACACAATCCGTAAATATCTTCTTTGAAATTGGTTCTTCCGCTCAGAATATTCAGTAAAATTTTGTCTGGGAAAATCAAAAAGCCCTAGGGCCGAATCGTTTCCCAAATACCTTCAA